GGTCGAGGAACACGACCAAGAGCTCTAACCCCCACATCCTGATCTGATTGATTTACTAGGGAAAGCCCGATCCACAGATGCTTCACCTGGCTGCTGAGAGGACCAAAAATGATCTGAAGCCAGCATCCTGGTGCCAGACGCCACAGGACAACCAATGCCCCAATGAGTCAGGGTGGTTTTGGTGCCACAAAGAGAATCCACACAATATTAGGCAGATGGTTTTAATGTTGTGGCTGACTGGTGTTTATGACAATCTTGTTTATATGCACATAAATCCTGACTACTGTAAATATTCACTTAGTGGCAGGAGGGCAAATAATGTGTTTATACATGCTGCATGACTGTTCCAATTTTTAAAAAAAACAACAGTTTAGATGCTATTTGGGGAGAAATCAGATCGGAGCTGCTGCCCAGTTTAAAGAAATACTCCCTTCACGTGCTGTTGTAAACAAATACGAAAGCCTTAGATCATCATGTTTCTAGTCTGGCTGGCCGTTTTTATGAATCACAACTTAGGCAACCACTTTGGTAGTGCAGCTGAGTTTTGCCAAAAGGACTTCCAACAACACTTCTTGTCCAATATGACGTGACTCTCCCTGCTTGGGATCATTTCTGTGCACATGTGCACGCTTTAAAAAAAAAAAACTCCAAGGATCCCAGTTTTTTTATGCCAGATTTCTCCAGAAGAAATGAAAATGTTCCCGTGCGTCCCTGTCATGCTTGCAGTTGCTGTTTTGTTTTTTTTGTTTTTTTATACGAACACTTAATGTAATGTGTAGATAGAACTGCTCACTAGATTTGTTTTTAAAGTTACTGCCTTGTTCTGTTGTTTTTTCTTCCTTCTTCGTTTCTGCTGCAGCCGCTCAGCTGCTGTGGTGTTTATTTACACTGAGGATATATTCTGCACCAGTGATGTATCGTGTCTCATCGAGAAAAAAAAAGGAAGCGTTCTGTGAAATACACAAACACCTTCCTTAGCTCTTCCTAATAATCACATTTTATTGTAAATATCCTAAATATGGGTTCGTCGTTTTGATGAGTCGTGGCTGATAGTGGGGAAACCGTGTAGAAGGAATAATTTCCTTACAGTCACAACGATGTGCTCAGCGACAGCCTGTCACCTTGAAATGAAACGATGCTCGTGTCCCACTTGCCATCTTGCTTTTTGTATTTATTTCATCACCGTTTCAAGTCTAAAAGTCAATAAAATCATTGAGACTCAAGGATATCCGTTGTGTGAGTTGCACTGTGGTTTCATGTTGATGAAATAACTTCTTTAAGTTTGCTCTGACTAAAGGACTGCATAGCACCATACAGCTGATGATACTCTTTGGAGTTGTTGTACCTTGTAATTAGTTTCCTGGGGAGAAGAT